TGACTAAGCTGGACTCTTTCTACCACTTCACTAGCCCTTAAAACTTTTTGGTCTTCTCTACTAACTGGAAACCTGTTCTGCTAACAGATTTCTAGTGGAGATCTTTTTTTTTTCTTCTTACTAGCAGAGAGTCACTTGCAAACAAAGAAACTGTCTTATTGACTCAGAACCCTCCTAGTCCAATCCTCTCAGGGCTCTATTGTAGCCACGGGAAGGATGGTTGTTCTTCCTGGTGTCAATCTTAAAGGTTAGTTATATCTGGGAATGTGTTAGCTATATCCGGGTAAATATTTAACAACCAGCTCTTGGGTGGGTGGGTGGGAGGGGGTACACAGGACACACTATTAAAGTTTAATTTGCATTATTAACATTTTCTCTATCATTTTCCTAAGTCTAGAGACGATCAATAAAAAAAAATCAAACCCAGATTGGTAACATTTGTCAATTTCCAAAGTATGATGAAAGTTTAACAAGTGGCTCTCCTGAGTGGTACAAGCGGCTCCATGATGCTCCCCAGCATCTGGTAGTGACCACGTATGGGCCATTCATAGATTTGTCCAATCTCTTTGTGAAGAAATATTTTCTGTCAATATTATGTCATAAGAAAATCAATACAGTATGCGTATCTATTGCTGTATGAAATACCTGTTTTTTAAAAAATTTGACTAGATCTGTGATTTTTTTGGGGGGGGGGAGTATAGAGAGCTCTCAGGAAGGCATTTCCTTTACTAATGCAGAGAGATAGTTTCAATGACTTGCTAAGCATCACACAGAGAGCTGGTCAACAAGCATGTTGTTGGGCAAAAACCCCAACCCTATCCTTAAGAGTGCTCACATTCTAACAGAGGGAGACAACACACAAACAACTATGTACAAGTAAGATATATACAGGTATAATTGGGGGTAGTCTCAAAAGGAAGGTACTAAGGTAAAGGAGGTCTGGGAATGGCTTCTTGAAAAAGGTAGGACTTCAGTTGAGACCTGAAGGAAGCTAGGTAGCAGATATGAAGAGAGGGAACATTCCAGGCACAGGTGATGACCAGTGAAAGTGCTTTGAGTCAGGAGATAGTGTCCTATTCAAGAAACAGCAAGGAAGAAAGTGTCACTGGATTGCAGATTACAAGGGGAGTGCAAGGTTCTAGAAGGCTGGAAAAGTTGTGGGGGAGAGCAGGTTGTGAGGGGCTTTAAAAGCCAAACAGGGCAGGTTGGTAGCATAGTGGCAGACCTGGAGTCAGGAAGGCTCATCTTCCTGAGTTCAAATCTGGCCTCAGACATTTACTAGCCGTGTGACTCTGGGCAAGTAACCGAACCCTGTTTGTCTCATGAGCTGGAGAAGGAAATGGCAAACCACTCCAGTATCTTTGCCAAGAAAACCCCAAATGGGGCCATGAAGAGTTGGATGTGACTGGAAACAACTGAACAACAAAATCCAAACTGGATTTTATGTTTGATTCTGAATATGGAACCACTGGAATTTACTGAATAAGGGGGACAATACAATCAGACTCTGGTTTTTAGTAAGATCAATTTGACAGCTGAGTCAAGGATGGATTACTGTGGGGAGGGATGAGGTAAGAAACCAACCAGCAGAACATGGCAATAGCTCCAGTGTGAAGTGATGTGGGCTTGGACTAAGGTGGAAGAGGAAGGTGGAGGATACATGAGAGAAGTTATGAAGGTAAAAACAACAGGGCTTGATAACTGCCTGGAAATAGAGGCAGGGCCTGACAGAAGAGTGAAGAGCCAAGAATGTTGCCCAGGTTTTAAGCCTGGTAAGGTGGTACTCTCAACAGTGAGAAGGAAGTTCAGAAGTAGGGAAAGTTTGGGTGGAAAGACAGAGTTTAGTTTTGAACATGTTTAGTTTAAGAAGTCTATGGAACATCCAGTATGAGATAAAACTCCTAGGAACTAGAAAATTGCTACATCTCTAATGTGTGTTAGAGATGGGACCTTTTTGCATAAAGCAGGGTACTTGCAAGCCTTTTTGGGTACTAACACTTAGAGGTGCTGGTATTCCACTTGAAACCTTCCACTAGCTACCTTTGGTGATACTACCTGGTATTTGGTTTTGCATCCTTCCCAACAGTCTTTTGGGTAATTGTCACCTTTTTCCCCTTCCTTCTTAGTTGATCTGAGCACACAGACGTCTGCATTGCTCAGACAGGTGATGAAGAGCTAACTTGAGACAAAGACCAGAGAAGCATCCTATTTCCTCTCTCATCTCCCAGAGACTCGTCTCCACCCTTCTGAGACATCTCAAGTTTTTGAGACTTCTCTGTCTACAAAGATTATCTTTCCATATTCTTCAGTAGGATTCACGAGGTTTATGCCTGTGGCTCTTTTTTTCTTCCGAGAGTAGCAGTTATTATATCACAAAACCGTTCACTGGGAAGGCAAGTGCTCCTCAGTGTAGGAAGGAATGTGAATATGGGAATCTGCTTGATCCTCCTTTCCAATTATTTTCTATGAACCCCCAAAGTAACTGACTTACTTAGAAAAAGAAAAGCACTACAACATTTAGGTCACTAATTTTCCCATATGTAAAAAGAGGGATTTGGACTTGATGACCTCAGAAATCCCTTCTCCTTCCGATGGTCTTTGATCCTGTGACCAGCTACTTCCCTTTTCAAGGCTAGGCAGGCTTAGATTGTGCAATAACTCTGAGTAAATGGCCAGATGGCCCAGGGTGGCTGGGACAGAGAAGGGATTCAAAGGCAAGTGACTGAAGCACCTACCCTAAGGCATGAACCCTCCCTGTGTCAACTAGGTAAAGACACATAGAATTCAAAGTTGAATCTATTATATGAATTACATTGAATATATCTTCATATATATAAATTATAACTCTACATAATTTATAAAATAATGGCAAAAGGCATATGCTGTGAAACTATATATCAAATTAGGATACTGTAGCACAGTAAGCTCAGTAAGGGATTAACATTATATATGGGGGGGGCGGGGCAGCTAGGTGGCACAGTGGATAGAGCACTGGCCCTGGAGTCAGGAGGACCTGAGTTCAAATCCGGTCCCAGACTCTGGACACTAGCAGTGTAACCCTAGGCAAGTTGCTTAACCCCAATTGCCTCACAAAAAAAAATCATATATGATGCTCAAGGAGGTTGCAAATCCTTCAACGTGCATTTAAGCAGTAGAGATACAAAGAAAGGCAAAAATATAGTCCCTGCCTTCAAAGAGCTTACTTTCTAACAGGAGAGAGAGTATGTCAGTAACTACCTACACGCAAAAGAGAGTCGCGATAAAAGGTATTCTCAAAGGGAGAGCGCCAGCACCTCGGGAGGTTTGAGGGGTGGGAGTTACTCCCCAGTTCTACCAGTGTCCTGGCCCACATTTGGTAGGCCAACATTGTGTCACCACAAACACGGGTAAACAGAGGATATTTCAAAGCTGCCAAAGACGTTTCCTCAAAATGCAGGTCTGATCATGTCATTTCCCACCATCACCACCCCTACTCAGATGCACACTCGATAAGGCTCGAGTGTCTCTCTCTTACTTCCAGGATCAAATATGAAATTCGGCATTTGGGATTCAAAGTTATTTACAACCTGCCTCCTTCCTAGCTTTTAATTTCCCTTCATGTTTCCCTTATACGCTCTCGGACCAAGCAACATTAGCCGTGCCATTCCTCACATGACATTCCATCTCCCAACCTTGCCTTTTCAATGGCTACTGCTCATATCAAGGATACTTTCCCTGTTCACCTCGGGCTCCTGGCCTCCCTGAAGAGTCAGCTCCTCCTGCAGGAGACCTGTTCCTCCCCCTCCCAGTGCCGTTCCTCTGACCTACCTTCCATTTTCACTGTCTCTCTTTTAGGCAGTGTTATTTGCATACGGCTTCCCCCATTAGAATGTGAGCTCCTGGAGGCCAGGGGCTGGGTCTGCCTTTCTTTGTATCTCTATGGCTCAGCACAGGGCTTGGCACATGCCAAGTGCTTAAGGAGTGCTTGCTGACCGACGTGATAGATTGCTTGATCCATCCCGGCTGTGACCCGGAATGAGATGCTCCACTTTGCAGGCAACTTTCTCTGATGATAAAGTGCAGAGTAGGCACCAAGCTGTATGGGCAGAAGGGGTTTCTTCAGCAGCAGTCCCACACTCCAGTGAAATCAGATGTCTGACTGCATCCCCGCCTGAGGACAGGGGAGGGGAGGCTAACAACTTCTCTGGAGCAGGAATGACAAAGACGAAAGTCTGCACCGTTCTACTTAAACGTCAGGCTAGGACGCTGTTGACCTGCTCCTGAAAGACAGTACAGTACTCTCCTCTGAACAGGATGGTGCTCTTTCTTTCAGAGCATTTCCTTACCCATGGCTGTCCTTGTAGACTTCATGGAAATGTGGTACATCTGGGGACATTCTCCTACAAGTGAATATTTTCCAGCTATGACTTCTTTGAATTTCATTGAACAATCACCAAAATAAAAGCAAGTTTACTGCATGAAAATTTTATTATAGAGATCAAAACACATATGATTCTTTCAATAACATTCTGAACTCAAAGCTACAGACACATTTGGGTCTATAGAAAGTTGGGTCTACAGGATTTATATACCCCAATTATAGAGTGCATGTGAAATGTCATATGTAACTCATAAATTGGACTTATGCCTGACTCATAACTCATACCACTGAATTCGACTGTGCAGAGAACCACTGTATACTTCAGAAGGTCATCTGAAGACAGGTCTGGAAAGGAGACTTGTGCTGTACACAAAGTGAAATGGTTTTCTAAAAAGTTGGAGAAATGGCTAACTATCTAATAATGACAAGCCAATTTCACTCAGAAAAGCACCACCAAATGGGCCAAGTGAGGACCCTTGGCATAGGTCTTCCCTGAAGGGACATACAGCAAGTTGTTCAAGAAGAAATATTCAGTCTCCTTAGTTATTCAACAGGCAGCAACTAAGAAGGGGTATGTTCAGAAATACCTGGTAACGTGACTTGTTTCTATTTCCTGGATAAATTCTCACATATCTGGGCTATGATTAGTAAAAATGAAATTAATCGTTTGGTGTCCAGTGAGATGCTCACAAAAACACGAATGAGGTCTAGGGTTATCCTAGATCGAGGAATATCAATATTGATCACTCTGACTTCCACCCTCTCGCCCAGGGCCCAATCCAAGACTCCTCCTCTTCTTCACTTTGGAAAGCTTTGCTTCCGTAACATTTCGGATGGGAATCAGCCCTGACTTGCCCACTCCTATATCCACAAAAACTCCAAAGAGAGTAGCATTTTCAACTTTTCCAGTGAGAACTGTCCCAACATTCAGATCTTCTAGGCAGACTATGCTCCTCTTGAAGTCAGGCTTATCAAAATCTTTAAGAAAAAGGGGGGAAAAAAGAGAAAATCAAAATCAATCTCATTATGGTATTTCCTAGTTACAGTATTAGTCAGTCACTAAGTACTTATTGAGTAAGCCCAATCCTACATTAAGTACCACAGAAGATCCACAAGGACCAGAAACTCTGTTCTCAGTTAATAACAATCTAGCTGGTGGAGAGGACAGACATATGTACATTAAACAGTTTGAAGAAACTTATTTTAAAAACCACATTAATACAATACCAAATGAGTCCAAAAAAGTAAAAAGCCCACAGAGTCACTCACTGATAGATGATGGACAGATAAAAGGATGAATGATACCACAACATTCATTAAATTCCAAAAAAGATGTAAGACAGTTGGCTGAAGGCTCCACCTACCCACAAAGTTCTCAAATTCATCCATCTATCCAATATGTTTTGACTTTCTCCTATGTTTTATAAGGACTAGCCCTTATAAACTCCTGGGATAGGAGTTACGTGGGAGAATGTAAAGATGAAGACACTGGTTTTGCCTTCAGAGTCTATTTGATTAAGAGGATTCTAACTTTGTGAATGAAAGTCACACAAACACAGAGACCAATGGAATGGTCTCCATAAAAGGTCATTGTAATTACACTCTCACTTGTGTAGTCAATTCTTGACTATTTAGATTCTGCATTCTTATCTCTTCAGTGTGCCAGAACCAGTCAGGGAGATCCAAGTTCAAATCCTGCCTCAGACATTTAATGGACAAGTGTGCCTCTGTCTCCTCATCTATAACATGGTGATAATAACACTCATCTCCTGGGGTTGTTATGAGGATAATATTTGCAAAAAACTCTGCAAACCTTAAAGCTATCATTATTATTATTGTTACTATTATTTTTATCTATATTCATTAGTTTCTCATAGAGCAGAGAGAAAGGGGGAAAGAAAATAAAACTGATATCAAGTTGGCTATTTGTGAGCATGCTGCTTAGGACTGCACATGGGAGGAGGCTGGCACGAATGGCTGAAATGAAGTTTGTGGCTTACCTGTGGATTTCATTTATTGTTCCTTTCCCTTGGTTTCCTTTTCTAGGATTACCAAGCATTGACTACAGCAATAAAGAACACATTCTACATTCAAAATCCCTGCTTATGACACCTCATTTCTACCCCTCCCCTTTCTCATCTTCCTCCACAGCTGTCATGCTCCATCCTGACAGCTCACTGAAATGGTTTTTTACATTGGCCTCTACAACTGGTCAGCTCTTTTCTTTATTTCTCAACCTATCACACAACATCCCATCCTGCCTCAACCAATCCCAGTAAAATTAAAAATTAAAAGAAAATTCAGGTTTTTCCTTTAAACATGCATGCGTGCGCGCACACACACACAAATCTTTTTCCCATACCACAAAAAAAAAAATCTGAAATTTGAACAGACTCTGTATGACATGTAATTCTGCAAAGAGAGAGTGTACCTCATTACTTGAGGGCGATGCACTGAATTCCAAGAGCAAGAAACCTGTTGTAATGTAATACCACCCTGAGAAAGGGCCACGTCCATGCAAAGTAAAACCACAGAGAGGATCAGGCCCAAGGACGAGACAGACAGGCTGTCAGGCCCCACAGGAATTGTTCTATGCTTGAAAACTCTTTCTTCTCCCCTTTCTTGCAGGCAACCAGCTGCTTCAGATTCCCTAAGGATTCCCGATCAGCTGCTTCATTTAATTTTGCATGGAAAATCTGAGTCAGAAACTACTTAACATGTTCCTGAAGACAGCATGGGCCATGGGGACAAATGAAAGTTCTCCTTGAAAAGTCTACAACATCAACATTTTAACACTCTGACAGACAAGCCTAATCCTGCTCCTAATCCAAGTTATAAATATTCTAAGAAGTCTCTACCAGAGTGTTAATCTAAATGGAATTGATTATATCAATTGAAAAAATACTTAGGAAATATGAGAAAAAGTTTAGAAGAAGGTGACTGGGGCCTTGGAAAAGTAAGCACATTTAAGAAAATGTAAAATGTAGGAAAAAAAGACAACGCAAATCATTTAATACTTCTAAAGACTGATTGAATATTCACTCTACCTACACAGATTAGAATGCCTTTAAACCTTAAGAGGCTGTGGTATTCATGAATTGTATGTTAAAAAAAAAAATCACCACTTGGTGAAGAACCATTAAGAACTTAGTGAGGCTGGTCCATGAACAAACGATACCCCACCAAAGCCAGGCCTTTCTAGCTTTATAGAACCTGCCAGAACTTCAGGTGGTACATGCTCTGAAAACCCATGGGCATCTCTATGAATGCCACAATAAGGTGCAGGACAACTTCTGAGCAGGACTTCAATGGAAGATTAGACAAATTACTCAACTTTTCTAAGTCTTAGATCTGTAAAATGAGGAGACTGGGCTAAATGAAGGCTCAGATTCTTTCCAACTCTAAATCTTATAAACATACGACCTATGCATATCACAACCGCTGGCAATATTAAGACACTTTGGAAAAGATGGTTAGGTAGATTCTGCTCATGGGCACTCTTCCCCCTTACTATGGTTCTTAAGAATGCTCTCACTCTCTGTGGTGAAAGTAAAGAACAGTGTGAACTAGGAGAAAATAAATACAGGAATACTATCTAATTTCTTTAATGCTGTTTTGACAAACGCCACGCAAGGACCCAAAGGCAGTGGTTTAGAGACTGGATAGGTTCTGAACTAACTTTCACAAAGGGCTTCTGAATTCAACATGGATGATGGTATTAGTATAGATGGTATTTAGAAACAGGCACCAGGAGGCGTGTGCTTAGGGACAAGGGGTGACCCACATGTGTATCCTGAGTGTAGTCAGTTAGGTATAATGGGAACAAGAAGGGGAAGGGAAGTGAATAAGCTTTCATTAATTACCTACTACATGTAAGGCACTGAGATAAGAACTTTACAAATATTATCAATCTGTGTTAATTGAGGAGTTAGAAACCCTGTCCTGATGTCACTGTAGTCATTAACTACATTTGTTTAGTCTCCTTCCCTGAACGAAGATCAAAAGTATCCATCAATTAACAAGCATTTATTAAGCACCTACTATATGCCAGGCACTGTGATAGGCACTGAGGATACATAGACAAAAACAAAACCATGTATGCCCTCAAAAGCACTAGACTTTGCAAGAGGTACATAAATATTCTGATATACAATACAAACAAAATAACTGAGGGGATGGTACTGGCAGCTGGGGGTCAGCAAAGACTTTCTGGGCAGTATTTCGAAAGAAAGAGGGCATTCCAAGCAAAGGAAGGGAAGAAGGGTGACCGCTGCAGGCACAGTAGACAGTGCCAGGATGCGGAGATGGAGCATCGTATGTGAGGAACGGCAAGACAGCTGGTTTGGCTGTATCGCAGAGCCAGTCAGGCAACACGTCTGATTAAGCATTTACTGTGTGCCACACGCTGTTGATGCCAATGATAAAAAGAAAGGCAAAACTAGCCTCTGCCCCTAAGGACCCCTCACCCCACCCCCCTAATGGGGAGGACAAGATGTTTATTTGTTCCAAGAGGCAAGTAAAATGGTCACACTAGAACTTTAAAAAAAAATTACTTTGGTAGCTGTGCAGAGTATGTATCAGAGAGGGAGATCTGAGGGACAGAGAGCAATTAGAAGGGGACTGAATTAGTGTAGTAGAGAGATTATGAGCACTTGAATTAGAATGTGACTGTGTGAGTTGATATAAAGGGAGAGATGAAAGAATATTGTGAAAGTAGAAAGAATAAAATTGGACAAGTGGAAGGAGGGAGGAATAAGAAGTGAAGCATAATGCCAAAGCTGAAAACTGGAGTGTCAGGAAGAATGGTAGTGCCCTCAACAGGAACAAGGAAGTTCAGAAGAGAGGATGGTTTCGTGGGGAAGATGAGTTCAATTTTGGACATGTTTTAGTTTGAGATGCCTATGAGGTATTTTGTTGATGGACACATGAAAAAAGAAAGTATGTGAAAGTGTGAAAAAGTAAGTACAATGAAATGTAAAAAATGTAAATATGAGGCATTAACAATATTCATCCCTTACCTGTTCGGAAGTCAAAGCTTTCAGGTTGACTCAGACCATCAATGATGATTTGCAATGTTTGTACTGTTGTTCCCAAACTTTTAGCAATTCCTTCTACTTCTTCCTTTTGAAGAAGTGAATTTATTTTTTGTTGCATTTCAGGCTTTCCAATTTCACAGAGGTTGCCACCAACGAGAGATAAAAACCTTCAAGGTTAAAAACAAAACAAAGCAAAACAAACAAACAAAAAACAACTTAATATTTTTACCCAGCATCATTAAATTCCCGTCATTGTTTACCCCCATATTTTCACTTATCTCTGAAATGTACATAGACCCACAGTGGTGATCATTTACTGTATATTCTAAACTGTGCTAGATGTTGTGGGCTATTCATTTTACTTCAATCTTCCTACATTTCCTTTACCCGGCAGTCTCAGTCAATTTTTTTTTAATCATATGTGACATAGTGGATAGAGTGCTTGACTTGTAGCCAGGAAGGCATAGGTTCAAATTCTGACTCAGACACTTACTAATAGTGTAACCCTGGGCAAGCTTCTTGACTTTTCCTAGCTTTACTTTCCTCATCTGAAAAAACGTTCAATAAATGGCACTCCCCAGTGCTTGGGTGTCATGAGAATCAAATGAGGAAATGTACACAGAGAGTTCTGCAAAACATAAAGCACCATATTACTGATCCGCTATTATTGTTGTTGTTGTTGTTGTTGTTGTTGTTGTTGTTGTTGTTAGATAGCAAGGACTATGTCTGTTGGAATCACTCTCAGAATCCAGTACAGCACAAAGTACAAGGTGATGCTTAATTAAAACACTACTCATGATTATTTTTCTTGGTTTCATGTGCTGTAAACTGGCTACAACCCATAAACCTAGGAAGAACTCTGAAGAACAAGAAGTAAAAGAAGTCACCAGAAGATGGGCTGGTTCTATGGAGAAGGATGAGTGGTAGTCAACCAGAATGCTCCACTGGTACTCTCAAGATGTTAAAAGAAACTGAGAAAGGTCTCCAGGACAATGGGTGGGTCCCCTTTCGTGAAGTTATGGAAGGACGTGGCTAAGAGTCAAAGAGGATGCTAAGGTACAGATTGGTGGCGATCTGTATCACAAGAAGGAATTCCAAACCAAATAAGATCACAGATCCATTTGATTATGATAATTAGAAAAATTACTCAATTTTTAGGAAAATTGCTGGAAATACATATAGAAAAAATGCTTTATTCATAAAACTCAGCCTATGTATATAGAATTAGGCAGATTTCAAAAAGAATATGTATTTGTTTGTTTGGGGGTTTTTTGGTTGGGCAGTGGGGGTTAAGTGACTTACCCAGGGTCACACAGCTAGTAAGTGTTATGTGTCTGAGGCCGCATTTGAACTCAGGTCCTTCTGAATCCAGGGCCAGTGCTCTATCCACTGTGCCACCTAGCTGCCCCTGAAGAATATGTATTAACTAAGATAAAAAAAGGGGGCCCAAGATATGAAATAAATGGCTAGACTGCTTCATCCTTTTCTTTTTTTTTTTAGGCAATTGGGGTTAAGTGACTTGCCCAGGGTCACTCAGCTAATAAGTGTCAAGTGTTTGGTCTGAGGCCAGATTTGAGCTCAGGTCCTCCTGACTTCAAGGCTGGTGCTCTATCCACTGTGCCACTTAGCTGCCCCTGGTTCATCCTTTTCTCAAATGAACTGAAAGGAAGTCCCTCAAACTGTCTGAAACACCTGTCTAGTTAGCATAAAAATCTCTTATAATCAAGTAGCCTGTTCAAATAAAACAGAGCCATCCATTACTGTGGTGTTATTTAGCTCATGCAAATCCTCCAAGTAGGAAAACTGGTCACAAGCTAAATTAGTGAAGGGGAGTGGGAGGGGGGAGAGAAAGATGGCAGGGGCAACAATTATACGAAAACAAAACAAATGTGTTATATACACTCAGCTTTTGACAGCTACATTATAGCTGTATGACAGTAACACAAGTGACAGGGAAATCATTTACTCTCAAACTCAAAAATTATTCTTTAACGACATCAAAGTCTTACATAATCTAAATTATGCCCTCAGTATTAACTATGTTCATTGTTATAAAAATCAAAATAATTACTTTTAATTATGATTCCAAAGGGGTAGTGAGTAAAGAAAATGCAATGATTAGGCAACAGCTATAAAATAATTACTCAGTTATTAACACTCTCTCTCTCTCTCTCTCTCTCTCTCTCTCTCTCTCTCTCTCTCTCTATATATATATATATATATATATATATATATATATATATATATACACACACACACACACACACATATATACACACACACATACACAAAATATGATAAAGTAAATATACTTTCACTATATTTACCATTTCTCCTTGGTTGTATAGATACAACTTAATTGCTCAGTGTTGAAATTAAGCAATAGTTGATTTATGTATTTTATATTAATGAGCCTAAGATGCATTCTATATCTGAAAGCTGGGCTATGGCTTACTTTCTTGAAATTCCCAACATTGGTATTTAAGCATCTGGGAGGACAGGGTAATGTAGTCCAGATCTGTGATTTTATTAGTGTGGGAATTTCTGGCACCTCCACTGACACAGATGGGCAACTCATCTGACATACTAGAGAGTTGCCTGGAGACACTGAAAGATTAAGAGGCTTGCCCATGATCACAATGGCAGCATGTCAGAAACAAGATCTGAACCCATGTCTTCCCAATCTAAGGTCATTTCTCCTGTCATTATGCTAGACATAATGGCATTTCTAGATCTTTGAATTTCATTTTATTGATTAATGGCACTTTAAAAATGTCAACTCAGTAAGCTGGCAGATAATGATGCCCTCAAAACTTTTCTTCCCTAACTAAAAGATACTGCAGCAACACAGGGGTTAAAAAACAAAGAAACTTGATGGGAAACCCTGTCCTCCCAATCAGAACTGGGGTATGGCCCTTTAGACAGATTGTTGCAGCATTACTGAAGGACTTTTTTTGATTTCAAAGCTGTGTTGCTATGTCTTACTGCAAAACGGACTCTCGGCTTCCAGAAGTGATTGTTACTCTCCTATACAGCACAGAAAATTTCTAATTTACTACTTAAACACTGGCAAACTGTGCATGGTCAAAATTTCCTCAGGTCTTACCCCATAGTCCTGGGAATAAAAGTAGCTTTTCAGAAAAAATCTTTACAAACACCTTTCCTTAAAACAGCGAGCACTCAGGGTATTAAGCTGTTTTACCTAATGCACTAATGAAGTCTAAAGTAGACAAGGAAATAAAAAAGTCTCTTGGGATTCTTATTTAGGAGAATAATATCCAAACTTCTTAAACTACCACTTACAGTCCTTTGGGTCTGACTCCAACATACCTTTGCAGCTTTTATCTTCCATTACTCCCCTTTACATAGTCTTTGCTTCCGCCAAGTTGGACTATTCGCCATTTTCTAAACACACAACGCATCTTCCTTGGTTTTGTTCATGTTATTCTTTTTGCCTAGAATATCTTTTCTTTCATCTTTGTCTGTTGAATTAATACCTATACTTCAAGGCCTAACTTTATCATATACACATATGCACACAAATATACACTTACACACACATTTTCATTAACATATACATATGTGTGCTTCCCCTTACCTCCCACCTTACTTTCCCCACTGGACTTGATGGACTTGATCTTTCTTTTGTGTGCTCCCATAGTCCCTGGCCTGGAGTTAGGAAGACCTGAATTCAAATGTGGCCTCAGACACTTAAAAGCTGTCTGACCCTGGGCAAGTCACTTAAGCCTGTGTGCCTCAGTTTCCTCATCTGTAAAATGAGCTGGAGAAGGAAATAGCAAACCACTTCAGTATCTTTGCCAAGAAAACTCCAAATGAGGTCACAAAGAGTTGGATACAACTGAACACTATCACAACATTTTGTTTGTTCTTTTCTAATGGCACTTTTAATTCACTGTATTACAGTTGCTTATGCCTTGACTTGCCTATAAATTTCTCACATTTCAATCTCCAGTACTAGAACAAAGAGCACTGAATCTGCTGACCTGAAATGAAACTGGTAGTTTGAAAGGAAGAGAAAGCGTGCGTGCGTGCATGCCATGTGCAGTGTGTGAAGTGGGAAGAGAGATTTTGTGTGTGTGTGTGTGTGTGTGTGTGTGTGTGTGTGTGTGTTCATTCACAGAATCTCCACAGCACAGCTGAGAAGGTTAGCTGCTAACTGTTGGTGCTGAAGGATGGGCTGTGGCATAACAAGGACCCAGTGACAGGAAACAGTTGTCTTGAGTTCTGACTGACACGGCAGATGTAACATGACAATCTTTACCAACAGCCAACTTCCTTATTCAACTTTCTAAATAATCCATGCTTTGCTGACCAGGCTTCCCTGGCATTCACCCTATTTTATTGTACTACAACTGGATGGCTATTAGATGAGTAACTTTCAAACACCCTGGCTGTTTCCCCTTATCACCTCTGTGATAAGGGGACCTCTGGACCACCGTTTTTTTATCTCTAAAACAAAGATGAGATATCTGCCCATAAGTAAGGATGATGCAAGAACAAATGAGGATAAATGAAAAAGTGTGACATTTTCCAAAGTCAGGGATCACCTTTCCATCCACTATCTCTTTCCCTTCCGTTAAATATGCAGAATACAAAGTCTCTTGCACACTGACTGCGCAGTTCAGCCTCTAGGCTTTTGCTTATTCCCAAGGCTTGCAATGCCCTCCCTTCCCCATCTAGCCTACTGAATTCCTCCTCAGTCCTTAAAGCCTAATTCCAAAGAAATCTAACATTTCTCTGATCCTCTTCCAACCTCTGCTCCCTCACACCCAGGTGGGTGACAGTACTTACACAGTACTTCCCAGGAGGCAAGTACATAGCACTTACATACTTTTATTTTGTACCTTTCTCTGAGATTATGTAATATTGTGTTATAGTTTTATGTTTGTGTCACCCTTCTAAAAAGTAAACTCCATGAGGGCAGGAAGTATGTCTCCTCTGAACTTTTAACTCCCTCAGCACTCAGCACAGTAATCTACGCTTGGCAAAAATTTAATAAAAATTTGTTGAATGAATGAAGCAAATTTGAGCTCTTTGGAATAAAGATGTCATACACACCCAGATTACAATATACACTGATATTCTGATTTTTGTAACAGCTTTTTTGAAAATAACCACACCCATATAAATGCTAACTGAATGGAAA